ATATTTATTTTATTTAATTTATTCACCCATTTTCCACTGCATATTTAAAAATATATCACTCATTTATAATTAAATATCAATAACACATTTCCTATTTAACAATAAACATCAATCATAAAATTTTATTAATATAATATTAAATAATTAATTTTTTTTTTTTATTATTTTTAAATTATTTTTTTATTATTAAAATTATTATTTTTTATTATTTTAAAATAATTATTTTATTTTTTTTATTAAAAATAATACCCTCCAGCTCACTAATCAACATACCACTCTTTTTGCAAATAATGACTTATTTTTTTCTTTTTTTATGGTTATCTTTATTTAATTCATCACATTTGTTCAATAGAAAAAGATTCGGTATTTTTTGTAAATAATTTTTAATTCAAATAATTGCAATAGTTTTTTTTTATAAAAAATATTTCATCTATCTATTTGATAGTGGTTCAAAGGGGTTATTTTATTTAAGAGATTGGCAAATAATTTAGCTTCATTTAAAGGTGTCAATACATTGGATGCATTAGATCAACAAGCCGATGCCGGGATCGAAAAAGAAAAGAAATATTTAGAGAATTATTATCAGCTATATAAAATTGTGATTCCAATGGAAATTTAAAATATTTTATATTTAATTATTTATTTATTCACTTATTAATTTTATTGTTTTTCTATTTATTATTATTATATTTTAAGATTGCGCCTTATGTTTAAATATTAAAAAAAAATTGAAAATTCCAGTCAAAAAAAAAAAATTTAAAATTTTATTTTTTTTTTTTATTTAAATTTTTATTTTATTTCAATTTAAAAATTTTGAAATTTCCAATTTTTTTTTTTTTTAATTTATTTTTTCGTTCATATAAATCATATATTATAGCTTTAAAATTATATTATATTTTTTAAAAGTATATAGTAATAAATAAATAAATTTCAACATAATCATAAATTCTATTATATTATAACTTTAAAATGTCACAATTTTTTAGTTTATTTTCACCATGGAATGCAGTTATTTCATTTTTTAAATTTTCAAATAATAATAAAAATAATAATAATGATACCAATAATAATAATGATAATAATAATGACAATAATAATAATAAAAATATTTTTAATCAAAAAAACAATGATAATAATAATATAAATAATAATAATAATATCAATGATAATAATAATATAAACTATAACAATATTAAAAATAATACCAATATTAATAATAATAATAATAATAATAATAATAATAATAATAATAATAATAATAATAATAATAATAATAATAATAATAATAATAAAAAACACAATATGACCAATAATTACAATAATAATACCAATACATTTCCATTAGATCCACCATTTAGACCAAACTCCACCCAATCACAAAATTCAAACAAATCTAGCTCACCATATAACTCTCCAATTTATAATAATAATAATAATAATAATAACAACTATAATGAAATAACCAAAATTCAAAATAACACCATCTCTGGTACTGATATTAACTCCCAAGATTTCAACAATAGAGACAACCATCTCATCAATAAAACCAAAATCACTTTAACCACTACCACTACAACTACCACAACCACTACAACTCTTTCCAAAAAAAACCATTACTCAGAATCAACCGTACCATCAGAAAATCAACCAATTTCCGATTCAAAATTAAAATTAAAAAGAAAATTATCTGATTTATATGACATAGAAAATTATCCAAGAGAAACAAGAGATAAAAAAAAATTAAGAACTGATTCTGATTATCAAATAGATATTCCACCAACTATCCATTCAAATACTATTGCCACAGAAGTTAATGTAGCTAAAAAAGAAGAAACTAAAGAAAATACAAATAATAATTCTAAGATTCACAAAAACATCAAAATTTTTTTAATTAATTTCGAATCAGAAAAAATTGACGTAGTCCAACAATTAAAGTCGGAAAGTCATAGTGAAAAAATTTTTGCAATTAACTTATTAGACCATTATATCTCAGATGATGGTTTATTAAAAAAATTGGCCTTTTGTCAAAAGCATAGTATTTTAGTCAATTTATTGGAATTTCTTTTTTCAGAAAAAGAAAAGGAAAGTTGTACAGACCTTGCCAAAAAAAAAGCTTGCTCATTATTTTCAAAAATTATAATCAAAGAATGGTTCAATGAAGAATCATTAGAAAATATTGAAAAGTGGATTAACTCACTTTTCACAGTTTTATTAGACCCAAATAAATCATCATTTAATAAATTAGAATGGGTTGTTAAAATATTTGGCCAGTTCGATAGAATTAAATGTGAAAATGGTTTCAATTCATTTAATAGTAGAAAGCTAATGACAGTCGATAAAATTTTTAATGTTTTAATAGAGCTTCTTAAAAATCTTATTGATTCAAGAAAGAAATATTTAGATGGTCCACAAAAATCATCATATGCTTCTCTTTTAAAAGAAACTATTGACACAGTTTATTCATTTTTTGGTTTGGTTAGTGGTTCAACTCGTTCAAAAAATTTAGAAATGGTTTTAAATCTCTTTAAAAGAGTAAATTCTCCAAAATCTTTTGAACTCAAAAATTTTTTGGTTAATTTAATTCCATTTTTTGAATTTAAAGATTTGGTTTTGGTTATGGAATACTTCAACTCAAGCCATAAAAATCTAGTTTCAAGTGGTAACTATAATACTCCAATAGATGCTCAATCCATTCAATTATTTTTTTCAAATATTATAGTAATTGTAGAAAGAATTGAAAAAAGTGAATATAATAACGAAGAATTGGATATTATTAGAAAACTAGTTGAAGAATCCATCAAATTCTCTGGAGTTCTATGTTATGATAACACTCTTAATTTTTTCGAAAATATGTACTCCGATGTATTAAATATTGTAGACAAAAAAGAAAGATCTCTCAAGTTCATTTCAATCAAATGGTGTATGTGCTGCCTTAAAAAATCGAATCCAAATTCTAGATTAGATTTCTTTATTTCCAAATTAGAATAAACATTGCTATAAACTGTTGACTATATTGTTCTCATTAATCATGAACTCAATGGGGATGAAATTAATAATTAAATCGTTTTATTCAATTTTTCTATTATGAATTTGATTGCGATGAAATTATTAATTAAATCCTTCACTCAATGTTTCATTTTTAAAATCCATGTAATTAAAATAGTTAACCACATCCGCTTTTGTTTTTTTCTTAAAGTTTCTAATCAAAAATTGGGGTTTTTTCCATCAAACAATCAACTCAAAGTGCATCATAATCATCAGTATATCCATCTATATGAACCATAATCACACTTTTCTTTAAAATCTCACAAGCATTTAATTCAATCACCATAATATCAGTACTTTAATGCAACTACATCAACAACCACTCATTGCCATAATCCAACAGTTATAACGACTCTTCATATTTATATAACTCACCAAAAAAATATTACATAAACACTTAGTTTGTAACAATTCAAATTACCATCCATCAATTATAATAATTAAATTAACAAATTACAATCAATAAAATAGTATATTTAGTTCAATTTAATTATTATCAATTCAAAGTTCTTTTTTTACAGTGTATTAAATAAAGATTAAAGATTTATTAAATATTTTAACTTTTAATTTATTATCTATTATTTTTTTTTTTAAAAAGAAATTAAATTATTTAAAAAAAAATAATATTTTACTATTCTTTATTTTATTTTTTTAAAATTTCTTCATTGTGGGTATACTTCTAAAGCATAAAAAAAAGATTAAAATATATAATTATGATTATGTTTGAATAAATTATTTTATTTTTTATACTTCAATTGTATCTTTTAATATATATACATGCACGCCCGACCAAATTTTTAAAATTTGTGTGGGTTTTCCATACAAATTTTTAAAAATTTGGTCCGTGGTATGTCATTAATATATATATACATATTATTTTTTTTTTAAGTTGGTACTTTTAAATTAATTGTTTTCAATATTTGATTGTGTTTTTCAAAATAACCCTATTTGATTTGAAAAGGCCCAATGAAGGTAACTGTTATTATATTAATTTATTTTTTAATTTCCCAATTTTTAATCAATTTCAAGACGTTACCTATAGATATTTTAAATTTTTATAAATAATATTTTTTTTTTAAAAAAAAAAAATAATAAATTCAAAAAAAAAAATAATTTTTTTTAAATTTTTTAAGTTTTTTTATTTTATTTTTTTCGATACACAACAAATACACATAAATAATTTTAATAATGTAAACTATAGCACATACAATCAATAATAATAACCTTAACCTTTCAGAAATATGTTTTAAACCTTTAGAGAACAAGTAAGTAAATTAATACATTATTTTAAAACAACAACAACAGCAACAACAAACCCATATGCATATAGAAAGTGGCATAGTTGAAGAAATATAGAAAATAGAAACAGAATTACTAACATAAATTAAATTAACTTTTATTAATTTTCAAAAGCCAAATTAAAACCATTAAATACCCAAACAGGATCAGCTGTCATCGATATCATGAATGAAAGGATTTGGATTATATATAGATTTGGATTATGTTTATCAAATGCACAGCCAACCTATTAAAAGATATTTTATTCAATTTACAAATAATAATAAATACCAATCCAACCACGAACTATTGCTCAATAATAATAATAGTCTCAAAATTTATAACAATAACTATCATAAAAAGTCACAAAGTCGCAGAAACTCAAATTCTTACAAAGTCTTTCAATCTCTGGTAAATCAGATAAAGCAAAATTCAAATCAATTGCAAGTTCATGTAAAAATTCAAAAAGTGTTAATGGATGTACCGTTCAGCTCTTATAGACACAAGTGCACAGTTATCATGTATGAAAAAATATTGGCAAAATAAAAGATTAGTAACTCACAAGTATTCTCATATAGATTGCTACTTATACTAGCAATGTGTCTTTAATTAAAATCAAAAAATGCAAGATATAGAATAAATCAAGCTAACCACCACAATATAATGATTTTGACGGCATCTTAATAGCTAAAAGTGAATATTAGAGTTTGGCCTACCCAAAATCTTTTAGTAAGATTCACAACAAACAACCATGGTAAATGAACAATTCAAAAAGAAAGGATAGTATGACAGTAGAAATTGGGAACCTCCTTACTCAGTATAAGGAGACTTAGGTCCTAGGGCAACACAATATTTAATTAGTATAGCACATGGCACCAAACGCGGGGCATTATTTCAGAGAATACGAATTTAAAGTTAAGGCCAAACTATATATATTTCCAGTTAAACGAAATATAATTAATAAAGATGTAAATAGGTCATTTGTGTCAAAAGAGTCAAAAGATTCAAAGTTCAAATTTTAGCATACACTGGCGGCTAATATAGCAGACATTGATCCACAATTCCCTCAAATTGCCAAAATCAAAGAACCATAATGATAATCTATTAATATTGGTAAATATAGAAGAGATGGTAGAGCTGATATATAAAAATGAAAGTTTTTGGTATCAAATTAAATTTTTCAATACCGGTTCATCTCCAAACAAATGGTCATTCTGTATTAAGAACTAAATCACTCCATTTTTCGCAAACCAGGGTTATAAACCAACTTCTCTATAAACTGTTAGCTCACCGCAATTCACAAATCATTAAAGAATTGAGTAAAAGATATAAGCTGTTTTCAGAGACAAAATAAATACCAAGAAATACAAAGTAGGTGATCAAATAATACCAAAACTACAGCATCATCAACAACAACCAAAAGCAGAACCCATTTTATATTAATTTATGTCAATAAATACTTTAAATTTATGGTTCATTAAAAAAGGTAGAAGTTTTTGGGAAAATCAAAACATTAAGAATAGGCCTAAAATTAATCAATAAAGAAGTGCAGCTTAAAATTCTCTTATCAAAAGCAGAAACAAAATCAAAAGCAGAAACAAAATCAAAAGTCCCAAAGGTTATATTAAGGAGTTAGAATCTGTTGGTGATTCCCCTCGTTCATCTGGTTCACAATCTGCTTCAAGTGCCTCTGCCATTGGGGAAAACGATCAAGTATTAAAAGTAAAATTCATTTCATTAGCAAAGCAATTATTTAAAAAAGAAGAGGAGAAGAGAGAACTTTTAGAACAATTAGAATTAGCTTAAGAAGGTCTTCAATCCGAAAATCACAATACTAAATCAGAGATTATAATTTTTCAAGATAAATTCAGTAAGTAATCTTTCAACGCTGGTCATGATACTTCAGTTGGTATATCAGAAGTTTCGCTGAGTTCTCTTACTGATAGAGGGGATAGATCCATCAGCATTGTTTTCTAAGCATGAATGCATTCATTAGTTTTACAAAGAAATCGATTAAAAGCATGAAATCGAATGTTGGTAGTTCAAATGCAGGCACTAATAGTTCACCAATCATCTCATTGAATACTTCAGAAGAAATCAATGGTAATAGAATCAAAGATATTGAACATGAATTTGAAAGTTATAGAATTGCAAAAGAGAATTTAGCAATGGAAAAAGATTTAGAAACCAAAAAGTTAATAGAAAGTCAAAGAATAGCAGTATTTTTGTTGTAGATCCAAGAAATCTCGGTGACGAGCTTCTAGCTATAAATGATGATACAGGCTGAGCAACACAGTTAGAAATGAAAATACTCAATTAAGACAAAGAATGGAAGAAAAGTTAAATCTTTAAAGAGAACAAACAAATCTTCAACCTATAAAATTTAGTACCCTCAAAGAATCTATAAATTGTTATCATCCATTGAAGGAGATATTACTGAAACCTGATTCGATGCAAACAAATAAACTTGGGGGTTTACATAATCCGGGCACTGTAATTAATAGTTAAAAATCAACCATGCATAACTGCCACGGATGCGAACTGGGTTCAATTACATGCATAAATTATAATTTCCCGAAATGAAAGAGCTAAAATGATATTCTGTTAATAGTGGTATGCAAAATGGTCTATTTATAGAGTTAATTTAAAAAATGTGTAGAGTAATATGTTTTTTTAAAAAATTTATTCATAATTTAAATCCTGTATCATATTGGTGGCATAGAATACGTAAATTTTAGTAGCAATACATATCATGTTTCATCATGTAGTGCTGTATGTCCCATTTTATTAAGTTGTACTTAACTTTTTCTTTACCAATAAAATAATTAAAATAAATAAAATAAATAAAATAAAATTAAATAAAATAAAATAAAATAAAATAAAATAAAATAAAATAAAATATAGTTTTTAAGTTTTATTTAAATTTTTTTTAAAAATTACTGTCACTCTATCATCTTTATTGTTTTCTTTCTGTTTTTTTTACTGATGGTTAATAATTTACCATCTGTCACCTCTAACTAAATAATTATCCTAGCCCCTAAAATTTTGGTATTTGGTACCTTGTTCAAAATATGCTGATACATCCTGTAATAATTGATAAACTTATTTGAATAGATGTTTATCTTAATTCATTTGCCCTCTACCATCAATACTTTAACCTTCTGGTGAAAAGTATGGTAATTTACTTTATAAAAATATTTTAAAATAAAATAAAATTATTTATTATGCAATATTATTATTATCATTTTAATTGATTTTAAATGATTGTATTTTGTAAAATTACTTTAACATTGCCCTAACTGCATTACCACAAGATGTACCATTCCCTGTTACAACATTTGAATCACTAACGAAATTATCCTTAACTTTTCGATTCATAATGCAGTGGGAAATGGGTGAAAAAATTAAAAAAAATTATTTTAATTATTTAAAAAGGGTATTTTTTAATATATTTCAAAATAAAAATATCTAATAAATGAATATAATATTTCTTTTATAATAAAATGTGTAAATAAAAATAATTATTCTGATAATGTTTAATTTATATAATTTAACTATTTTTTTATTTAATTTTTATTTAAATAAAAATCAAAGTTCAAAAATAAATAAAATAAATAAATAATAAAATTAAAATATAAGTAAATTAAAAATAAATTTTCCATGTTATTTTTAACAAAAAATAATAATTATCTTTATAATTTAAAAATAATAAACTAAAAATTAGTATTTGAAATTAATTAATCTTTTTTTTTTTAAATCTTTTTTTTAAATTTAGCTGGGTATTCTGGATATCATTTAAGAGAGAATTTAATGAAGTTTTCAAATAAAAATATAGAATAAATTATAATTCACAATTTAAAACTATAAAATAAAATAAAATCTATATAGCTATAAAATATAAATTATAATAATTTAATAAAACATTATATTAAACAATTGATTATTTTTAATTTTATTTTTTTTTTTTGTAATTTTTAAAAATTTTTTAAATTTCTTTTTTTTTTTTTTCATTTATTAAAATTAAAGCTTTCGTTCACTCACACATATTTTTTTACATCCAGCTTATATTTTTTTTTTATACATTAAATCATATAATTAAATTTTTTTATTTTTACACTTATATACTTTTATTTTATTTTAAAAAATTTATTTTTAAACAAAAATGTTAAATATTTTATTATTTTGTATTTTTTTATTTATTGTTGTTAGTAGCATTTTTTATTACTATTTTGGTAAAATCTTATTCAAGAAATACAAGGGTTGCCGTTGCTCTACCACTAAAGGAGAATATTGCCATTATTGTGCCTTTGATAACGATTACTGGGGAATTCAATATATAGAAAGCCAAAAACTAGAATATGATCATATAATAGATAGACACAGATTATATGACAGACAATGTTCCCAACAACACACATTCATAAGGGAACAATGTGAGGAGAGGCTACAACTATATCAATTTCAAATAAAACAACAGCAAAGACTAGATATTCCATTTCAGCAACAACTACAACTCGAACAACAACAAAGACTTCATTTAAAACAACATCAAGTTCTACAACAACAACAACTAGATGAGAAACAGCACCAAATAATACAACAACAACTACAATACCAAAGACAACAACAACAACAACTATTTTACCAAGTAGAACAACAACATCTACAAAAACTAGAACAAAAAAAACAACAACTACAACAACAACAACAACAACAAAAACGTTATTTTTGCAGATACTTTTAGAAATAATAACCAAAAAAAAATATTATAGTTGATGAAATTTATAGTTGTACCAAAGAAATATGTAAAATCTAATTATGAAGAGTTCTTATTTGTTCGTTCAATTCCGTTTTTTGTTGTCATCCCAGTGGTAAAGAATAGTTTAGGTCGTAAATTACAGGTATAGATC